CCTGGTCCTGGCCCCTGGCGGGCCGGGCGGGCATGGTGTAGTGACAGCAGCCTGGCTGGGCAGCCGGATTCCCCAGGCCCCTCCCGCAGGAGCTGAGGCTGAGGCAGGGCCGGGGCCTCAGAGCGCCTTGTGGTGTCCACAGGCGAGCGTGAACAGGGCCAGCCGCCTCCTGGGGTCCTCGCCGACCTCCCACAGAAGCCCCTGAGCTTCCTGGAGTCTCCGAAGGTGGGTCCGGCCCTGCCCGTGGGGCTCTGCTGTCTGGCCAGGCATGGCTGTCCCCGGGGGGGCCCAGGAGGAGCAGGTCCCAGGCTGGCAGAGAGTCCTGGGGACACAGGAGCCCCGGGCGCGGGTCTGCAGCAGGTGCAGCAGCGGGCGCTGGCTCGCGTGGCTGCAGGCGGGACGGGCTGGGCCTCGGAGAAGGCCCACTGGAGGGCAGGTGCCCTCGGCGCCCCCGTGCCCTGGCCCGGCCCCTCCAAAGCGGGCGCTCCCCTTGGCCAGGCTGTGAGGGGCCCAGGAGGGGCAGCGGGACCCCCAGAGAAGATGGCACAGGCCGGAGGCTGGTGGGGAGGACCAGGGGCCGGCGAGGGCGAGTGGGCCTCTCGGCCTGGGCTGTTGCTGGAGGGGCCATCCTGGGGGCCTCTAGGGAGGACCCCGGGAGAGGGACCAATCGGCACGGCTGGGTGTGTGTGGGGGCGCCCCAGCCCCACACGGCATGACCGCCCCAGTGACTCAGCCCCCCGGGGTGCTCAGCCCGGTCTTCGGCGCCCCCACCGCGGCCTGCCCGCCCTCGGCAGCCCCTGGCCCCGGCTGGGACTCGCCGCCTCCACACTCACGCCTTGCTGACCCCAGCGGCTGACGCAGACGCACCCCGTGCAGGCCCGGCCGGGACTGGCGTCGGGGCGGGAGCAGCTGCAGACGTGTGGGGACCCGGCGCCCAGGACCTCCGGGAGCTCGGAGGGGGCCAGACCCAGGTGGGGCCCATCCTGGGGGTGGGGTCTCGGCCGGCCGACCAGAGCTGGGGGAGCCGGACGCTCTATCTGCAGGCCGCAGCCCGCCGCGGGCCGACACACCGCCGTCCCCTCACGGGGCCCCACGGACGCACCGGGGGACACATCGGCCTCTGCAGGTGGGTGTCCCCGCGTCGCCCCTCCAGGCGCTGGCTGCGCCCCGCCTCGGGGACCTGCGGCCTGAGCTGGCGGCCCGCAGTGCAGGCCCAGAGGCAGGCGGCCTGCATGGGACGCTGAGCGCTCGTGCCGGAACTGCGCCCGTCGGCGCCATGCAGCTGAGGGCCGCGGCCTCCCTGGGGCCTGGCCGCCTGGCCGCCCCAGGAAAAGGAGGCGGTTGATTGTCCTGGGGCTAAGGTGCAGCGGGGGGTGCAGGCGGGCCCCTCCGGAGGGGAGGCCTGGGTCCCTGCAGCCGCTGCTGCCACAGCCTGCTTTCTGCCCTCAGGGCTGGCACCGGAAGGGCAGCCAGACCCAGGGTGGCCCTGGAGGCAGCCCTCCCCTTGGGACAACCCCACTCTGCAGGTGCACGAATGAGGGGGCCCTGGGGGCGGGGGTGGGGGGGAGGAACACCCTGAGGCAGGTCCCAGCCCAGCCCCAGCGGCCCACCTGGGGCAGTGGCCTCTTCCTCTGGGTAGGGGAGACGCGCCCTGCCCTGGGCATCACCCCTCTAACTGGTGTCGCCATGCACACACCTCCTGCCCTGGGCCAGGCGGCAGGTGCTCCGCAGCCCGGCCGCGGGGACACGCGGCCAGAGGGGTCAGGGCCCCCCTGGAGCGCAAAGACGGGCGGTCCGCAGGGGGCCTCATCCTGGGCTCGGTCCGGGAGGGCTTGCTGAGGCGGCAACAGCGCCCTCCCCCGAGGCGGGCTCGCTTCCACCCGGCGGCGGCGACACAGTTTGACCCGAGCCCACTTCACGCTCCAGATGCTCCAGCGGCGGCTGCGGGCGGAAGGGCTGCGGGTGCAGCACCGGGCCGCGCTGCTGCGCCTGCGCGAGAGGGCGCTGGCC